TGAGCAGACTGAACTTCTTTCTACTGGAGTTCAGAAGAGAGATGACTTGATTCAGAAGGAACATAGAGACCATTGATGCCACAAATCTAAACTGAAGCACGTTGTGGAATCAACTACAGAACAGTCCACCTTAGACTGAGTATTATGCAATGAGAAAGGAATAATTGGCAATGCTCACCTTGGGGGTAAGCAACCATAACATGACAGAAGTCTTCATCAAGATGGAGAATAGGCTCCTGAATTTTAATAGGGGAAACTACGGTGCTTTGAAGTGTGTGTTGGCTATGATGGGTTGGTAAATGTTTCTGAAAGGAATGACAAACATTCAAAAAGCAAATGGGTGAGCTACAAAAACAATGTTTACTCCTGCCTGGCACCAGAGTGCAAAGAGAGCAGTGGCCAAACCATGGCTTACAAGGGAAGTTAGAGATAGTAAGAAACATTCAAATTGGCAGGAAAAAACAATAAACCTGAAGATTGGAAACAATTTAGAAGTCAGCAAAGGAGTACCAAGGATTGATTAAGAAGGGGAAAATAGAATATTTGCGGGAAACATAAATTAATGTTGATCCCTACAGTCAGAAATGGGGGGAGAATTATAACTGGGAACAAAGAAATGACTGACAAACTAAATTCATACTTCACTTGTCTTCAAAAAGAAGGACATGAATAACATACCAGAAATGATGGGAACACAGGGTTTAGTAACAGGGACAAACAGAAGCAATTCTGCATTAGTACAGAAATGGTGTTGAAGACGGAAAAATCCCCAGGACCTGACAATCTACATCCCAGAGCACTTAAGGAAGTGGTCCTAGAAATAGAAGATGCATTGGTGGTCATCGTCAAAGATTCTTTAGACTCTGAAATAGTTCCTCCAGGTTGGAAACTGGCTAAAATAACCACACTGTTTAAAACAAAAGGGAGGGAGAACACAGGGAATTATAGACCAGTGAGTATGACATTGGTACTGAGGAACATGCTCGAGTTTCATTTATCAAGAATTTTATAGCAGAGCATTGAGAAAACAGTGGTAGAATCAAACACAGTCAACATGGACTTATAAAAGGGAAATCACGATTGATTAAATCTACTAGGATTCGAGGATGTAACTAGTAGAGTTGACCAGGGTGGGTGGGGAGCCAGTGGTTGTGGTTTATTTGGACTTTTAGAAGAATCTTGATAAAGTGCCAAATAAAAATTAATATATAAAATTAAAGTGCTTGTAATTGGAAGTAGTGTATAGAGATGGATAGAAAATTACTTAGCAGACAGGAAACAAAGTAGAAATAAGTGGAATAACAAGGTGTGGAGTTGGATAAACACAGCAGGCCAAGCAGCATCAGAGGAGCAGGAAAGCCGACGTTTCGGGTCTGGACCCTTCTGAAGAAGGTCCACTCCCAAACTGTCAGCTTTCCTGCTCCTCTGATGCTGCCTGGCCTGCTGTGTTCATCCAGCTCTACACCTTGTTATCTCAGATTCTCCAGCATTGGCAGTTCCCACTATCTCTGTAGAAATAAATGGGTCTGTTTCTGAATGGCAGACAGTGACTAGTGGGGTACTGCAGGTACTAGGACCCCAGCAATTCACAATATATCTTAATGATTTAGATGAAGGAACGTTTTTAATATCTCAAAATCTGCAGATGATGCAAATTGGGTGCATTATGAGGAGGATGTAGAAAAGTTGCAGTGTGATTGGGACAGGCTGAGTGAGTGAGCAAATTCTGTATAATGTAGATAAATTTGAGGTTACCCACTTTGGTAGGAAAAATATTTACTTTAATGAATATAAATTGAGAGAGAGGAATGCTCAATAAGATCTGTGTGGCCTCATGCACCAGTTGTTGAAAGTAAGTGTGCAGGTGCAGCAGGCAGTAAAGACGACTTTTATAGCAAGAGGATTTGAGTACAGGAATGAGAATGTCTCACTGCAATTATACAGGGCTTTAATGAGGTCAGACCTAAAATGTGCACACAGTTTTGGTCTCCTTATCTAACGAAGGATGTCCTTACTAGAGAAGTACAGTGAAAGTTCATGAAAATTGATTCTTGGGATGGCAGAACTAACACGAGTCAGGATTATATTCACTGTGTTTAGAAGAATGAGGAGAGAATCTCATAGTAATATGTAAAATTCTAACAGGACTGGACACGTTAGATACAGGAAGAATGATCCTGCTAGTTGGGGAGTCCAGATCAGAGTCATAGCTTAAGAATAAGAGGTAAACCTTTTAGGACTGAGATGAGAAATTTCTGCACCCAGCGAATGCAGAGTCCGTGGAACTGACTACGACAAATAGTGGATGAGGGTAGAACTTTGCGCGTTTTCAAGGAAGTAGTAGATATAGCTTTTGTGGCTAAAGGAATCAAGGGATGTGGGAGGAGGGCAAAATTAAAGTATCGAGCTCCATGATCATATTGAATGGCAGAGCAAGCTCAAGGTCCAAATGGTCTACTACTGCTCCTACCTTCTATGTTTCTATGTCAAGAGTTGTGTATATATGATCATATAATGGTATAGCAGAAGAAATCATTCAGCCCAATGCATCTGAGCCAATTCCTTCATCAAGTCAACTTACTCACTTTTTCTCAATTGCCCTGCAAGCCTTTCCACTTCCATCTATCCAATTTCCTTTGGAAAGTTATTTTGGAAAGTGTGGTTGGTTTGCTCAGCGAGCTGGTTCGTTAGTTTGCAGATGTTTCATTACTCTGCTGGGTAATATCATCAGTGCAGCCTCTGATGAAGCATTGCGTTTTCCCGCTTGTTATTTAAACTTTGGAGTCCATTGGAGTTGATGACCTCATTTCTGGTTTTTCCTTGCAGTGGTGTGTACAAAGGGTCTAATTCTGTGTGTTTATTGATGGCCTTCTTCGTGGAGAACCAGGCAATACAAACAACAGGAAGATACGGTACGCCCCAACACACTTGTCATGTTACATCAAGAACGTATCTGAACTGACCACAAGACTCCTACGGCCACTGGGCATCAGAGTAGCACACAAACCTATATCAACCCAACGCCAACTGCTAACAAGAACCAAAGACCCCTTTACCCACTATGGACAGAACCAACATAATATCCAAGATTTCATGCAACGGCTGCAACAAACATTACATGACAGACAGGAAGGAAGCTGGCTATGAGAATACATGAACACCAACTAGCAACAAAAAGACATGACCAATACTCAATTGTCTCCATACACACAGACAAGAGAACCACCTGTTTGATTGGGACAAGGTCAGGATCCTAGGACAAACCAAACAGAGACAAGCACAGGAATTTCTAGAGGCTTGGTTCTCCACCAAGAAGGCTAGCAACAAACATGTAGAATTAGACCCTATATACACACCACGGCGAAGAAAAACTGGAAATTAGGTCATCAACTCCGACGCACCCCAGAGTTTAAGTAACAAGCGGGAAAACACAATGCTTCTTTGCAGGCTGCACTGATGTTACCCAGCAGGGTAATGAAACATCTGCAAACTAATGAACCAACTCAGTGAGCAAACCAATCACAGTATCCACAGCCCGAGCTACAAATCTACTTGAGAACCTCAGACTTTGGAAACTGCTCCTACCACCTTGTTAGGCCTGAACATTCCAGATTACCACCAACTTTATGTATACCAAATAATTCCTAATGTTACTTCAGGTTCTTTTAATTAAGTCTATGTCCGGTAACTACTGGTCCTTCTGCTAGTGGAAGCAGTTTCTTATATAATCAATCAAGCTCCATGATTTTAAGAAACTATCAAATTTCTCATGTCTGCTTTAAGGAGAGCAATCCCATTTTTCCAGCCCCTCAAAAATAATCAGCTGCAGTTCTAAATCATCGTTAATTCCTTCTAAACTATCTAGAAAGTGAACTAGACACCTGTTACAATTTTTTGGGGAAACAATTGATTTTTGCAAATAACAGAACAATTTGAGTCAAACCACTTATCTTGGGATGAACAGACACCAGAATTGAATGACCATAATCAAGTTGGTTTACTTTCACAAAAGAGAAACAACTTTTAGTTGAAGGACATAAACAAATAACATTTGCCCACCTTATTTTGAAGTCCTTCAGTCGATCTGCGTTGAGTTTTGCTGTAAGGAAATCAGGAAGTTTCTTTCCAAGTTGATGAAAGCCAAATAACAGACATTCAACATAACTAAACTGTAGTTTTGGCTCTTCATTGCCTGCGTTTTCACCATTTTCTGCTTCTTCTGGGGGTAATGGCATATATTCCTAGGTTTTTCAGGAATTCAAAGTTATACGATATACTTTGTGTTTGATTGACAAGCATTTTTAAGAGGCTGCACAAGCATTTCTCTTGCATATGTACAATTTTCATGCAGCCACAGTTCGTATATAGTTAATCTGTTCCCTATCTTTAAAACTATTAACAATCCAAACCAGACAAATACTTCAGCATGTGCTTGACACAGCCATCTGCTTTGAAAGAAATCAGCATAAGCCAAATATTGTGAAGTTTCTCTTACTGGTTTGTAAAATTTAGATCTGAATGAAGTGATGTTGAAACAATGCAAAATAAAAACTGTGAAATGAACAAATAATGTGATCCGCAATGCAAAGAACAATTCAAAACAGATGTTCCTCTAAATGAAATACTGCAAGTGAATTTATAAAGTGATTACATTTTCCAGAAAAAAGTTGCATGCTTACCAGCAATTTTTCAAACAACTGTTTCAAGTTACTTTCTAACTTTTCCATATCACCACAGAAAGGTGTCATTTCTCCCAGCAACTTTAAAACCTACAAGGTTAAAATACTGAATTGTCACTGAAGAATGAAAGGAAATTAACATTAAAGTACAGCTAAACACTAAGCTTTAAATACGAATCTACTCGGAATTCTGCATTGGACCTAGATTTGAAACTAATCTGTGACCTTAGGTCAACATTTTGTGGAGCGATCAGCGCCAGGGTTTTGGGGGTGGGTCGAGGACGAAAGAACAGAGAGGGGAGGGGAAGGTGGGGGGATGGGGGTAGGGGGTAGGTTGAGGTATGTGCGTGCATGCTTGATCTGGTGTGTGGTATTGGACAGGACTGGAATTTGCAGAGGGTGCAAGTGGCTGCAGGCCTCCAACACTATTGTGGAATGTGTAGAACCATTGGCACAGATCCAAAGGAACATGGGTTTGTCAACTGGAGAAGCATCTTGGGCTGCACGGTGGCACCGTGGTTGGCACTGCTGCCTCACAGTGCCAGAGGCCTGGGTTCCAGTCCACCCTTGGACGAGTTTGCACACATTCCCCGCATCTGCATGGGTTTCCTCCCAAAGTCCAAAGACGTGCAGGTTGGATGGATTGGCCATGCTAAATTGCTCCACAGTGTCCAGGGATGTGCAGGCTAGATGGATTAGCCATTGGAAATGTAGGGTTACAGGGATAGGGTAGGGAGCTGAGTCTGAGTGGGATGCTCTTTGGAGGGATGGTGTGGACTCGATGGGCTGAGTGGTCAGCTTCCACACTGTAGGGATACTATAGGAGGAGGTGATGGCCTAGCGGTATTATCGCTGGACTGTTAATTCAGAGACCCAGATAATGTTTTGGGGACCTGGATTTGAATCCTGACGTGCCAGATGGTGGAATTTGAATTCAATAAATATCTGGAATTAAGAATCTAACGATGACTGTGAATCCATTGTCGATTGTCAGAAAAAACCCATCTGGTTCACTAATATCCTTTAGGGAAGGAAACTGCCATTCTTACCTGATCTGGCCTACATGTGACTCCAGACCCACAGCAATGTGGTTGACTCTTAACTGCCCTCTGGGCAATTAGGAGGGACAACAAATGCTGGCCCAGCCAGCAACGCCTCTTATCCCGTAAATGAATAAAGAAAAGAAAATTGCAAAGTTCATGAGCTCGGGAACAGGGATATATGTACGCAAAGGTCAGAATCCGTTACTAAGAAACTTTTCCACACAGGTCCCAAATACTTTATAAAGGGTCATAAACAGTAAATTAATCAGGTTCACACGTTACCTCCAACTGAATGTCAAGTCCTTCCACTGGGCTGGTAAGGGAGCTGAGGTTTGGGAGTACTTGTTCACAAAAGTAGGTGACAAACCTGGTTGAATGGACATTTTTCTGAAAAAGTAAGCACAAATCAAACTATGCACAAGACAATGCTAAAATAACCACTTCTTAATTTGCTGCATTTTTAAGTATAATATTTTTAAGTCAGTCAAGAATCAACATGTTAATGTTTATCTAAGGCATTATTCAGAACACATGTTCTAACTTTACAGATCGCCTCAAAATATGGATAAGCAGTATCATGGACAAGCAACACTTGCAGTGTTATAGAAGATGCTTTTAATGTGGAACATCTGCCATACAATGCACTTTAATTAAGTTGCAAGGTACTTTCTAAAGCTTGAAAATACACAGAAAGCTTGAGCAAATATACGACAGAGGTTATTGTTTTCAGTTTTGCAGTTCTACTGCTGTTGGTTCAATTGTACATGTTGACAAAACATTTGCCACCCATAAATATCTGATCAGGTTTCACAGGTGCATAGACAATACTCAGCTTTGCCACTCTACAATCTCTAACTCCATGTATGACACTGTTTGGAAACTTTTCCAGCATTAAGCTGATGATTCACTCCAATTCTCCAACTATTTGCATAACCAAATTCCTTCTATTCAGTTTGAGACAGGCTCAATTTCTACTTGAAAATCTATTCCCTCTACCTGGCTACAGCTTGACTAAGCATTTCACAAATTATTCTTGCTATTCTTAAGAACTCTTCAACAGCAGTATGAAATATTCAAAATTGACACATTCAAGTTCATTTGAAAGACACTAATAAACTATGACTACTAAAATGTTGAATCACATGAATGAATGTTAATCATTTAACTAAAGAGATCGTTAAACTCTGCATTAGTTGTATTTGATCCACTTCAAAACAAAATAGATGATGAATATTAACCATTTTTTGATGCTACATTCAGAGCACCCAGAGCTTCATATTTTCAGGATTCCCACTGAAAGCTCAGGGACAGAAAACTCTAGATTCTTCTCACCTTCAAACAACACAAATGCCTATTTGTAACAACAGATTCAAAGACTTTTTCCTACATGTTAATTGAAATTCAAATGCAAAATCTCAGGTTTAGTCCAAATGTCTGGCTAAGGAAACAGTTACGCAGCATGCGGCAAAGTCAAAAACAAAAACAGATCAACAATTCTGAAATACACAAATTAAATTTAGTCTTACCGAGAAAAGTGGAACTGCCTGTCTTGTGCACTGTAGTAGTCTGTCCACAGAATCTGGATCTGCAGGATTAAACACCTGCTCTAAATCTGCTTGTTCAGCCACCAACTCCACCAGCTGTTGTCGACCACTTACTGTCTGAAGATTCTTAAGGCTAGACAGAATCTTCATGAATAAAACAAACTCCTCTCCCGTCACATCATCCAGTACCTAAAAACAAAATAATTTCATCTACATATGGAATAAAATGGTATCAGAGATAGTAGGAACTGCAGATGCTGGAGAATCCGAGACAACAAGGTGCAGGGCTGGATGAACACAGCAGGCCAAGCAGCATCATAGGAGCAGAGAGGCTGACGTTTCGGGCCTAGACCCTTCATCAGATGAAGGGTCTAGG